CTGCTATTCAATCCAAATGCAGCTCAATTCTAAAGTCACACCTGAAAGAAACTTGAAGAAAAGGCAAAGAAAGTGCTAAATGATCACACAGGCAGCACACCCCCAATATTGCATGCTACTGGTAAACCCATGTTTTTCTTTAAATAAATCCGTTTGTACATTCTAACAAGCAATTACCTTGCTGGAAGACTTCCTAGCAGGAAGCCTTGGAGTCTGTCTTAAAGGCCCTTGAACATTGTATCAGCCCTTAGTGCTGCAGCACTTTGGTGAAAATGCTGCACCCTATAGAGTTACCCAACAGGTATCTGGGATTCAGTTATTCTCAGCACGGCCAGAGAAGAGCACCATGTATTCTTATGTGCTCACAGGAAGGAATGCAAACAGATGATTCTCAGGGAACATTACTTCCGCAATCCTGCTGCAGTTTTGCAACACACCAATGCTAAAATTATGCAAATGTTCAGATACTGCTTATTTTTGTCTTGCTCTATTATTCTTAAAACTGGCTTATAATAGCTCTGTGAAATTTGAGTTTCATTGCTTCCTGAGTTTGCCCTTCCAAACCACTACTGCTTAAGAATTTATGATCCAAGCCAGGGATGCCTTCTCTCTAATTTTTTTTATTTTTTCAGTTTGTTTTCATTGGTTTTAATTTGTAGGCTGAGCATGTTCTTTTCTTGAAAGAGGTTCAGCAGACAGACAAGAAATCTGCGCTTCCAAAGTCATAACTGCATCAAAGAATAAGATACTCTTATGTCAAGAGAAGTTCTCTTTTTGAATATTAAATAATACAGAAAATGCATGAAATATTATTTCCTTAGTTTCTCATTTGACTGCTAGTGGACTGTCATTAGATGACAACTATAGTGAGAGGCTCATCCCTTTACCTCAACAACAACATACTAATCATGCTCTCTCAATCAGAAATAGCTCATTTTCTCACGTTCTAACAATAGAAAACCTATAAACATTCCAAACTCCAGCTTGTAATGATTTTCAATAAGTAAGTGTACCGGAGGCATAGTAGAAGGTGGGAGGTTTGTACAAAAAGAAGCAACCGAGAGGCATAAAATATATCTGATAGTAGAAAGCTAGACTGCTGTACACATTGAATTGTGAATATTTCTACTGCCTATCAAAAGTCTGCTGCTCACTTCTGTGAAGCAACTGCAAGGTAATCAACTTTTCCTTCTTCACAGTCTGGGGGTTTACAAATAAATGAGCTATGAGAAGCAGGGAATGAAGGAAGCAGAGATGGAGGAATATTTATAAAAAAAAAAAATTAAATCTGTGTTTCAGAAACTCAAAGAAGACAGTGCAAAGGAGAAAACTGCTTTTGTGGATCTAGTTTATTAATAAACATTGTAATTAACAAGACAACATGCTGTACATAAACCTGAAATAGAATTACTGTAAATTTACTGGACTTTAAAAGCTGCTGGACAATGATATATGGTGTCCAACTGCACGATTTGTAAAGCATGGTTAGGGCTGCTTCAATACACAGACATATACTGCTCACTCTCAGATCCTGTAGTATGCCATAGAGCAGGGATATTTCCCAGAAATACAAACCCAGATATTTACAAGAAACTGTCAGTCTCTTTTCTTCACTAGGGATAACATGTTATACACAATTTCCTATATATACCAAATAAAATCTTTGCCTTCAACTTTGCTCTGTGTCTGCACAAACTGATCCCTCCCTTTTTACTTATCTAATTAAATAATGGTAGTAAACTGCAGTGTAATCATATAATAAATGATTATTTAATAAGGAGTAGCTTCAGAGCTGCAAAAGCAAAACTTGAGCTAGAATTGTTAAGAACAAAATCAAGTGTAAATGATCAAGCTTTCTCAAACTTCATAAGCTTGAATCAAACGACCTTGCACTAATCAACCATTAATGACTTAATTATTTAAGTCAACTATCTCACTCAACCATGCTAGAAGAGGGCATAACAATGATAATTTGAGGCTGAAGTGGTTCCTCACTGGATTAGAGCTTGCCCAGAACACAGCAGAGCAATGTATCACTTCTCCCAGGGGGAAAAAAAACCACCACAAAAACTGAAAACCCGTGTATCTGCATACACGGGGTACATAAATACCTGATACCACCTGATTCAAAGTGGCTAAAGCCTTCATCCCTATGCCAGACAAAAAAGAAGACCCGGTTGTATTCAGGACCACATAACTAACTTTTCCTCAAACCAAGCTATCACACTAACATTCTTAAGCCCTCAGGTCCTATTAGCATGGGCTCATTGCCATGATAATTAGCTAAATGACCTGCATCTGACTGCCTCATAGCCCTGAGAGAGCAGGTGCTCTGTAGCCTCTGTTTGGTCAAGCAGACAGGGCCTAAATATTCTTCCTTTAGAATTAAGTTATACAGTACAGTTTCACAAAACAAAGAACTGGCTTTTGTTTATTATTTTTTTATTATTATTTTTACAATGAACAGTTTGACTTCAATTCATCTCCTTTTTTTACACTTGGCTATTTGACATCATCAAAAAATTGTCTTTCTTTCTGCTGCTACCACTTATTTTCTCAATGCAGCAGTTGGAAGTGTAACAAGCATGTACTGAGCTTGGGAAAAAAAAATCTAGGCTAGACTGTGTGACACATTACTTTGAAGGCAAAGGTTTTCCTTTATTGTTACACTGTATGAAACAAATCTAATCATGTAACTACCATTTGACTTATATTGTATATAGGATCGTTTTCTTCACAAATTCACACAAGTAAGATAAAATAAGTTAAGTGACTAAAAAAATTACACAAAAATATACAGCCTATGCACTAGATAAATTACTTATATATATGGCAAGATGTATAATGAGTCTATAGTAACGTTATTCCTCTGGATACTGACACTTGAACAGACCACAGAAAAAAAATGTTGCCTCCAATGCATAATTTTACATATTAGATATATAATATGCAAAAATGAAAGCAACATTTAACTCCTGATACAGTATGTATTTACAATTAAGTGTTATGTATCTTGATGACAGAATTTTACAATACCATAACACAATTTCCTGGATATGACATTTAACACTTCCTATTATCAGATACATCTTTACAATTCATTTTGCTTAAGCAGTTGTTCCTCGGGTTTTTGTTGTTTTTTTGTTCATTTGTTTAGATGTTTTTTTTTCTTTTGTTTGTTTTCTTTTTAGAAATAATTTGCTAAACTTTTTTGCTTTCTTTTGTTCTTCTGCCTCTGAAAAAAATATAATTCTAGTGTCTTTATCTTTTCCTGTGAAAACAGCAAAACCATAGGAATGGATTGCTTTGCCAATAAATTTCAATTACAATATTCTGTCAGAAAGGACTGTTGAGAGGAAAAAAATGAGTTTTCAAGTGCAGCTGCCAATTCTATATACACACAATATAGCAGACTTGTATAATAAAAACTGAAGTCCACTGCTTACAATAGGAAGTATTATATGCCAGCCTTATTCTAAATTTGCACAATTAATGTGTTTGGTAAGGCTGTGTAAACTACAGATAAGGTTTTTTGTATATCCTGAAAAGGACTGCTGAATTTTTCTAACTATGATGTCTCCAAAGCAAACAACAAATGGCTCTGTATATATTAGGTGTAAATTAATTTGTCAAATTTTTAGTTGTCCTGGAACTGAAAATGAGCTGTATCAACCGTTGTGTGTCAGTAGCCAAAGGACTGTTTTTCTTTTTTCTCCCAGGATTTACATGCAACCAGAAAGCAGTGTGCCACGTCTTTTCTAAACATTATTGAAAATTACATTAACAAAAAAACAAACAAACAAAAAAAACCCAGAAGTACATCATCAGATAATCTGATGTTTATTAATTAAACCCTACCAGTAGATTAAAAGTGATGCTTTTTTTTTTTCTTTTCTTTTCTTTTTTTTTAATTTTGCACATAAAATGTAATTGTGATTTGAATAGATTTACAGTGGGGACAACAATATATAAAGCTACTTATACCTGCTGGGCACAAAATAGAAGCTCTTTTAGCATTCATTGGAAACCCTCAACAACTTGAACTTCTGTAAATTTTACAAGCAGCTTTTTTACAGCATTTTTACACTCCTTTTTTAAATTTCATTTCATTTTTATGTTACACGTAAGTTACAGTATGAAGGTTACACAGAATTCTGTCCATGGGAAATATTCATGAACTTTCAAATTTCCCTCCACACGACTTCAATTGTCTCATCTAATGTAGTAATAAACTAAACAAAATTATGCAGTTTGTTAAGGAAAAAGATCTTGGTATGTACACACTGTAAATGATGATGGCTAAACAGCAACAGAATGCTAAAAGGAAAATGTGGTGTTTTTTCTTTTTTTCATTGAAGAAAGGAATCTCCATTTTAACCACTATAGAATTTACTAGTTTTATTTCTGCTACTATTATACCATCCAGTACACAAAACACTAAAAAAAAAAATCCTCATCTTTACAGAGAATCATACTGAGACTTTGTCAAATAATATGATTGGAGTGTGTTTGTAATTATAGTTATCCAGCACTCATTACCTGGATTCTTCTTTCTCTGCTGAGAAATGTCTGTGATTCTCTAATAATAAACTAAGCTACCATGACAACTACTCCTTTATCTTCTAAGTTTGGGGTGAAGTAACTAATATTATCGCTAACCTGTTACTGAACACTTGCAATAGGTGATTGATTATAGCTGTAAAACAAACATATACATCACTATAATATTTTAAACACCAGTAGCTTAAAGCCACAATAAGACATCAGCCAAAAAACTACCCCAGTTTCCTACTGATTTCAGCAGTGCCCATGTAATTTTCAACTAACAGGAACAGTAGCCAAAGCAAGCTCTGCAAGATAAAAAATAAAAAAATAAAAAAAATTAGACTTATAGCCTGAAAAGCATATGCATACTGTGCTTTTATTATTGCAGAAAGGAAAATCTTAAAAAAAAATTAAAGAAAAATCTTGTAATATTTTTAGATCTATATTGCATCCTGTCCTGTTGTCTATTTCACACAGAAAAGCCTAGTAAGAGCTTTCTATTTCATCTACTGCATTCTTTCAAAGAATAAATACCTGTAGATTCAACCACTGAAAATTAAAATCAAAAGCAGCTGTCATGTCTTTGAGTACATTCTTCTCAATTACATGAAAAGTAAGTTTTGGTAGGAATGTACACCATCCTTCCAAAGTATGTCTTTTTATATTGTGTAAGGTAACCAAAAAAGAAATTGACCACTTGATCTCTGTTGGTAAGCAAATGGAAGGTGAAATCTATGAATACCTTATAAATTATAACAATGAAGACAGAAAAAAATTGGTAAGTTATGTTACTGCAATGTTTCCTAAGCTGTATTAAGAAATTGCTTTCAACGGGGAGGAAGACCTGCTAGCAGATATTTGTACCATATAGACCCATATTAGAAAATAAGCAGGTTTTTAAGGTTTTCTTTTGATTGGCTCTGGATTTTGAGTTTTCTTCCCTATTTTATATATTTTACTAAGAATTGGGGTGAATTTTCTTTAACTAAGTCCTAAGGATTTAGCTTTTCAAGTTAAATTTAGGATTCTATATACATAAATATTCACAAGCCTAACAAATTTGTATATGCACTAAGAACAGTGTTAGGCTGTGACTATATACAGTAACACCTTAAAGCCTGAAATAGCCGATTTGTCAGATATGCATTTATAGCTGGTGCTCATGGATAAACGTAGTGCTACTCCCAGACACTGCTGCCTGGTGGGACATGGCAAAATTTGCCAGAGGGATGACTTTGACAGAATCTTCGCTGGTGCACTGTCTTTCACAGGTGTTGTAGAACTGGGGCCTGGGCCCACCTTGGCCTTTGTCAGTGTCATCCTTTGGAAGGGGCCTCCCAAGAGTGTGTCGTCCGTCAGACCTGGCTCCTCGGCCCCAGCTTTGCTGGAAGCCAAATGATGGCAAAGGTGTGTTGGATTGTTGATACTGTGTCAAAGAAGGTGGCATCCAGCAGTTGTCAGAATGGCCCAGGATGAGACACTCCTGCGTGCAGGTTTCAGAGGCCTCAGCCAGGGCTTTCTGGAGATTTACTTCAATAGCTGGGAAGACAGAACAAGATAAAAAAAATTACCAAAAGATTTAAACAATGATGTACGTAGAGAATGAAGGTTAAGAAAGCAATCCCAGTTCTAAAACAAAGGATGTATTTTGGAAAGAAAATACCTGCAGTAATACGACTTAAGTGAACATACAGATGCTTTCAATTTGGAGGCCCACAGTGGTGACATTGGCAAGCATCAGAAAAAACATTAGCATTTTAAGAACAGATGATAACACCACTAGAGCCCAAGTAACTAAAGCCCTTACACAGTCTACATATAATGATGTTTTTACTTTCTAAAATTGTCCCTTTAGTAATAAAGCTAAAAGCTTTACAATAATCTAGCAATACAATACTTTTTTGCATTCATAAAAAAATAAGATTAAAATTAGATTTTAAAAATATGCTGTTAATGCTGGATTTTTTTTTTTTTCTCTGTTTAAGGAAAAAAAACAAATTTAATTTGGATATAGTCAAAGGTGGTACATTGGTTTCAAAGATGCACTCAAGAACTTTAAGAATGAAAGACAGCATTACAGTTATTTTAAAGAGGATTGATTTCTTGATGCATTCAATACTGGAAACCTTGAAAAAATCAAAGGGTAATAGCAAGAAAAGCTGTAACCTCTGTAGTTTACAAGTAATCGAACCAGAGCTCCTGAGTAGATGCAAGGTTTGTGCTCTTGAAAAGGATTACAGAAATGATAATGTGTTCAAAGGCCAACTACTAACTGAGAAACACATAATTTTCAGTACATAAAAAATCTTGATCAATTTCATTTAAATGACTGTGGTATTACTAGGTAGATTCAAATTAATGTAATTAAAATTCCAAAAATCATCCCTTGAAATGTTTTTCATATTATATATAATAATAATTTTATATTATCTTACTATGAACAGAGTTAAAATATGTCAGAAGAGAGGAAAAGTCTCCATTCAGGTATTTCACTGTGTCTTTTCACAAAACTTCAACACTATTTTTCTTTATGATAAAAGCTATGTATGTATTTTTAATATCTAGCTTCAAGAAAATAATCTTTAGAAATGGGTTCTGGCTCGCAACTAGCACAGAAATTATGCTGTTACAAATTACTTATTGCAATATGAGTTCTAAGTAGGAGCCTCTCATCTTTTGAGCTTTGTTTGTAAACAGATGCTTTATTTCTGCTTTAATTTAATGTTCTGTTTTTACTTTGAATGTTGAAATCTGTATAAACTACGAAGCATAAGTACATATTTCCATATTACATCTAAATACAAATGGATTTAGTTTTTCCTTCAGACATTAAAATACATAATGCTGCTGTCCAACATACAGGATGCATCTTTTTTAAGTCTACCACTTATAAGTAGTCAATTGGTTTCTTGCTGTTTCATTAATGTTATATTCTTGATAATTTCTCCTGAAGGACACTGTACATTGCATCTGCCTGTTAGGGAAATTAGTGTTTATAAATGTTGTTTTGCCCTAGTATTAGCATTTCAACATGTCTACTGTCATTTTGTCTCCATATGTCTGAATGTAATCCTGACAAAGCGTTGGCACCTTCCTGTTGAAATACTAATCCAGTTTTGATGGGTAGTGGGATATATAAATATGAAAACAATTCAGTAGAGAAAACAGTTCACTCAAAAAAAGTTACTACTGCTAGATTAGTCTAATCTCTTTGTGTCCTACTATGTGCTATTAGAAAAATAAATCTGAGTATATACAAGCTCTTAAAGTTCTTTAATTACCCAGGTTTCCTTCTCTTCTGATCAAGACAATTCACTGAAACCAGGTACATCCTTGACTAAGAGTTGAGTAACCCCTGACTTATGAACCCCTGACAGAAACTGATATTTTTGCATTTATTAACAAAACATCTTTGATACTCAATCCCTCAGTGTTCCTTTTATTTCAGGATATCACCTAAAATTCTTTTAATTAATTAAGCTGGAAAAATACAGTTATTTGTTTGGAAATAATAATTCTTATGTATTACTAGCTCCACATAGCAAGTAGTTACAATACTCGTAGTATTATCTAATGCTCAAATAAAAAAATAAAATTAAACAATTAAAATCAGCATTTGGCAATAAAAACATAACATTTAAGCTTTAGACAAGGCAATTACAGAAATAAAAGATAACTTAAAAAACATTCTTAACACCATCTGGACAGATCAGTGTGACAGTAACTTTGTGTCATGAGTTGTCAGACTGCATGCAGACTTGAAACATGCTAGTGTACAAAGAACAACAATGTTCTCAGGATGCCAGTCTCATTTATTATCTTAATAAAGGATTTGCACATGAGTTTTAGTTTTAGCAAAAATATTACGCAAAGACGCTATCAAATCGTTAGTACAACTCTGGGCACAATCCTATGATATAAGTACAAATTATTTTGGCTTTGAGGTTTGAGTTTAATTATATAACAATCCTGCACTTACAGACTGTTGAGAAGATACATTTTTTTGTAGCAATCATAATCTGTCAGTGTAGGTATTTGTAAGACGTAATCTTGACTGTCAAAATAATTCTATTTTTCATCACTGCTTATAATTAGTATATGCAAAATATACAGTTCTCATTAATTTTGAAGAGTTACTTCTATTTTCTACTGAGCAGCTCTGCAGTGCTGCAAGAGAACAGGAAATAAAAAAGTATTTAGGACATACAAGTACTTTTCTGTCTGACTCATTTTTTTTCCAACAGTAACAGTCAAGTTTTGTTTATAATGCACCACACTTAAAAAAAAATTATCGACCTCTACTGTAACTTCAAAAGAAGAACATGTTTTATAAAATGAAGAGGTTTTTTTGTTTGTTTGTTTTTTAATTTTTATTTAAAACATCTGCATATAGGCCAGGGCTGCAGCCCTGAGGCAGCTTTGAGGAGATTGGGTATGTATGCTGTAGGAAACCAAATTAACTAAGGGTGTGACCATGAATATATTGTGAGACAGGCAAGGTCCTCACTATTTACATTTAAAGGAATCTTAGAAAATCTCAGCAACTGATCTGTTGCAGTAAGAACTACTAGCAAGGACAATCGGGATGCAAAACAACTTCTATTTGGCATGAATTAGAAATAAATAAACAAAACCATTATTTTTTAGCAAAATGAAGTAAAAATGACCATTGGAGCATAATTTTTCAATGAACCAGCACAAAACATAGGATTTTTTTCTTCATGAATATTCACCAGACATTATCTTTTTTTGCTTGTTCTTCCAGGTCATGAAATGTAGCTTCTTTCAGTCCTTCTAATTCATTCTCCATTCTCCTAAGATATCATTCTTCTTCTTCATTAGCACTTGAAATCTTTCTCACTTGCTTCCCGGCCCTGGCAATCTATTGCCATCTAAACTATACTTTAGTTATAAAAATGTTACTTTTAACAATTCCTGCTTTTTATCAGCAGTAGAGTGTACTGCTAACGGTGCCAACTTACAATACAATGCTGCTGATTTCCAAAATTCTGTTACCAACTTAGAAAGAAAGGAGTCAATGTAACTAGCACTGAGCCTGGCTCCCCCTCCTCCATTTGCTGCTCACTTAAAAGGAGGGAGTCAGGCTGGCTCCACAGGGCATCCCAGAGGACAATATGAAGAGGAATGCAAGCACTGCTGGGCGAGAGTCAAGTTCAGTGCTCAACAGGCCATTTATCCAATGCTGTGTAAATTGACCACTGAATTTGCTGGATGCTACTCTTAAAGCTTCTTTTTGCTTTGCGTCTTTTTATGGAGGCAACTGTTTGTAATAGTTACTTTATGCAAGTCACTGCTAAATGTAGGTGAAAAGAAAAACTTTTGAGCCTTTCTCTCATTCAAAATTGGTAATATTGGTAATTATTCTTTCAGTCCCATAAGTATTCTGGTAAGAAAAATCTATGGAGTCTGCCTCTAACAATAAAGTTAAAGAAGGTTTCTGCCATTTCTGAGTATTTTCAGAATAGAGAATTTCTGTACTGAAATTGTCTAGTAACATCTTCTCATGTAAGAGATTCATCAACTACGACATGCAAGTAATATGAAAGAATTTTTAATTCATCCAACAGATCACACTCATACACATGTGAATTTACCAGTGTTGTTTGAACTCCATATTATTTTAGGAATGAAGCTGTTATTTAAACTGTCTGCCTCAGAACTAAGAACGTTTTTTAAAGAAAATGTATGTCAGTTCTTATGAAATGTTTAGATCAGAACTGTCAAATATATCTAAAAGCACAATAGTTAAAAGGCTTTCTTCATTGTTCTGCAGTCTTTATCATTTATAGGTCAAAACACTTTTCAGTAAGAACAATTATTTTCACTTAAAACATTGAGTTTCAACTCAAGTCAGGTAGCTACCCTTCAGTAAAAGCAGTTATAAAAAATACTACTTAATAGTTTTATGTTTGTTTTTGGTTGTACCTTTCTATGTAAAGTCCATGTATGGTATAGATGAAAATACAAATGCTGAGTATTCTTCTTGCATATGAAATAAAGCTAAAGAATTCTATAATGCTTTTTGCACTATCAGTCTACAAAATACATAGAATAATGCTGCACGCTTTGAAGCTTCCAGCTCAATATTGGAAGTTTAAGACTATTCCTCATCGAGAATTCTCAAAGGAAGACAAGCTGTTAATACAACTGTGTTACCAGCATTCTCATAATGCTGTGTACATTGCTGTATATAAGACACACTTTCTTTTCTACCCCTATACCCATATGTCCATACCAAACAGGAGGTGTACTACTAAGATAAGATCACAAAATTCATTACTTGCATTATGGAATCATGAAGGCTTAGGTTGGAAGGGACTTTTGAAGATACCTGGTCAAAATTACTGCTCAAAGCAGGCTATCTTGATCAAGGTATATGGTGTTTTTCCAGAAGTTTAGGCCAAACTTTAACAACTGCCTTATTGCCTTACATCTCCCCTGAAAGATTTCTTAACACATTTCAAAAGGGAGCTGCACATTCTTAAAGCTGACCAATCAACAGTGTGATTTTCTGGAGA